AAAGGAAGCCACCAGGTCCAGAACTCGAACCACAGTTGGCCATGTGGGAGTCCAGCACCCTTAATCACCATGCAACCTGCCGGCCCCTTGATTGTTTATGTTTTAAAATAGGTCATACCATTTATGAGGGGGCTTCAAAAAATTGGTAGGAAAATGGGATTGAAGTACAAGTTTATTTTGGTGCAAGAAAATTTAAAATTAATGCCTAGTTTTTTCATAAAAGGATTTTTCCATAAACTTTTTAAAGACCCTTTATACATTGACTTTGGTAAATTACTTTTTTTTTTTAAAGAGATTTTTGCTCTAGGGTGTTGTGTGCTCACCAGAGAGACAGAAAATGAGAAATCACCCGTGGGACAGGGTGGCCACATTGCAATCCCTTCTCCTCCATTCCCCTCTCGGGATTTTGGGCATGCATACATATATACTTGGCATGAGTTTCAAGCCGCTGAGTCCAACACTTGAACCGCAGGCGGCCACTTAGGAGTCTAGTGCCTTAACCACTACGCCACCTGCTGTCCCCAGTAATCTGGTCTTTAATTTAATATGTCATACATGTTTTTCTACAGCAATATTTAATAACTATATAGTGTTTCATTATAAATACCTCAGTTTATTTAAATAGTTATAATTACTGTGCATTTAATTTATATCTATTTTTTGTTAACTCTTTAACAAAAAAGACTTTAAGATTTTATACATATATATATTTATTTATATACACTTTTCATGTATATGGTTGCTTGTTTATAATCTAACCCTAGAATGTTAAATTGTGTCAAAGAATACCTATATATTTCTTTCAAAGAATTATTTATTTATTATTATTTTTAAATTTTGCTCAGAGAGACAGAGCAAGAGGGAAAATGAGAACGTAAGCTACGTTCTAAGGTTCAGGACTCAAACCAAGGTCAGCCAAGTGGGAGTCCAGTGCCTTAAGCACTGTACTACCTGCCAGCCCCAGGATACGTTTTTAGGTCAAATTGTCTGTAGAAAGCTTGGCACCAATTAAATACCCCCCTATAGCATATGAAATGTTTGTTTCATAAACTATGGACAATACTGAGAATTGCCTTTTATTGATAATTGCTAGAGGCCAGCCTGGTGGTTAAGGTGGCTGAATCCCACATGGCTGACCTCCAGGTTCGAGTCCTGGACCCAGAGGCTTGAAAAACACATTGCATGCTTGTGTGTGTATATTCAAAATTTGAAAAGAAGGGAGAAAGGGCGGAGAAGGGATTGTGGAATGCCCATAGCTATGGGGAGTGCTTTCTAGCCTTTTTTTTTTATCTCTCTAGAGAGCACACACACCCTCTGGCAATACTTATTTTTAAATTGCTAGTTTAATAAGTGAAAATAAAGGTGTTTTGTGCTCATTGTACTTCTTTAACTACCATCAAGTGGAACATTTTTTCCATTTTGTTTGTTAGAATATCTCTCTGTAATGCTCCTTTTCATTGAAAAACTGTGAATTTCATATATATTTTTCCTCTCACTTGAAAGGGGAATTATTTCTCTTGATTAGTTTGTGAATTATCTTAGTACTTAACATTTATAAGGCATGGTGAGATACTCTTCCAAATTAAGTGTTTTTCTCAGCATCAGCCTGTAGGGGTCTCTCTGAACCAAATTTTTAGAAACCAAGGACCTGATTTGAAGACAACTCTCTGTGATCTAGGGGCAGTCCCGTCGAGTTCAAGTTGAAGTGAAGTCTGTGCAGGAGTCTGGGACTTTACCTCTCATGGAAGAATGCATATTGTCTGTTGGCATCGGATGTATAAAAGTTAGACCACTCAGATCCCCTAAAACTCATGAGGCCTTCCATGTAAGTTTCTCTGCCTGTTACGTTCTTGTTGAAAGCCAAAACCAGACCAGAATCTTTTGGAACCTATCAGAAACTGCTTTCTGTGAACTGTGTCCACGGTTTCTGTTTTCCTTTGATGTCCGTTTTTATGGTGGTGTATTTGCCTGGAATGACTGCACCAGTCTACCCTTGGTTTTGCCTAGTACACAGCGAACTGATGGTTAAAACTTCTCACCCTCCTCCAGCTCCTCCCTGCCTAATAGTGATTAACCTCCTCCACATCACCCCGCCCTCTGCAGAACCCCCTACTGGCTTGTAAAGACTATTTGCCAGCAGGTGTTTGATTTCCCCTGGTGAGTGGGGCTGTACACCCAGCAGGGGAAGTATTGTACTGGTTCCTGAAAAGGTCAAAGGAGTGTTCTTCACTTCCCAATGAGAAGCTCAAGATTTCACTCCAACTTCCTCACAGCTCTAAAACTTAGAGTGAGGGTAAGAGTGGGTGGGAGATAAAATCGTATATTTGTTAAATTTGAAAAGAGAAGCTATGGGAAAGATTTAGACTATTTAGCGTAGTCTAGTTCTTGGATAAATAATTACTTTGGTTTTATGTAAGTTTTTTTTTTCTTTTAGGAGGAAGAAGAGGACATGGATAGCTACCAGGTAATTTAGCCATTAACCTCATTAAACAGGCGTGGGAGTACATAGGAGAGTACATAGTTACTTTTGAGTCTTGCTACACTGTTACTTAATAATTAAACAATTGATTTTGATTTATGAATCCGCTTTTCCTTAAAGTAAAACAGAGTGGAGGACATTGAGTGTTGTCTCAGTCTGAGAAGCAGGACACGTTCTGAGCAGGAAGCCATCTGTAACGGCTGTCCTTTTCCTGCCCTAGTGCTTCCCATCGAGGTTCCCTACAGACCCGTTTCTCCAGATCCTCCTCCTTGGACTTTTCACTCTTTGAGTGAAATCACCCACTATTCATTCCTCATTACAATTGTTGGTCTCATCCTGAGCTTTGGGCAAGCCCTACATGTTTAACTTATTTTCCATATTTTATACCAGGTCTCCCTTACCCACCTCCTGAAGTCATGCAGGTGTTAGAGGTTTTGAGATTTTCCTCCCTTTCTTCTCCTAAGCTTTTGCAAGATTTTGTTTGTGTCTGTGGAGTTTCATCTTGTTAGTCATCATGTAGGACTGTCAGAGCTCTTGGAGCCTGATTATATCATCCAGTGTAGTCACTCTCCCGGTTTTGCATCATTCTAATTTGATAGAACTGTCTGCCTTCCTATAAGTCACTGATTAAAGACTTTGTATCAGATAGGGTTAAACATGGTCTCATGGCACAGTAACAGAAACTTCTTTTAAGCTGACATTGGTCAGTTTTCTTTGGATGTGATATTTGATTGGTCTGTGAGTTCATTTAAGTAGATGCCCTGCACATTTCTCCATCTTGTCCATAAGAATGTCATAGGCTATTTGGTTAAGTGCCCTAGTGAAATCCAGATGCACTACCTCTGCAGCATTCCACTGACCTGCCAATCTCATAACCTTATTACCGAAGGAAATGAGGCACGATTGGTGTGTGTGCAGGTGTTGACTGGTAGAGTTGTTAGCCTGTTGATAACTCCTGTCCCCTCTTTCCACACGCTCCACTTCCCCAAAATGCATTAAAACAAACAAGGGGAACATTTACATGCTGTCTGTAACAGCCCAGGGAAACATACAGGAGGCAATATTACAAAAGCTGAAGCATCTGATGGTCTAACGTATATACATTTGAAGATCATTGAGTACTATTTGTGATTTCTGTCCAGCACAGAGACCTTGTAGAAGAGCTGCATTATAAGCACTTGGAGTTCTGTCCCTTGAGCCATTAGAAATAAAAGTGGTCCTAGATACCAGAAAATGCTCTGTTAGAAACAGTCTTTCTCTATAAAATAATGCTTTAAATTCTGAGTTTCTGTTTGAGTTATAGCTGGAGTCAGGTGGTGGTAGTAATAAATTAACTGTGTAATGTTTTGCATTTTAGAAGCACTTAGAGTAAGGCCAGATAGAGCACCCACTGCAGATGCTCTGCCTTGACATTGTGCTGAGTGTGGTTTCTCTGCTGTCTTCCAGGATCGGGATTTAGAGAGACTGCGTAGAAAATGGCTGAATGCGTTAACCAAGCGTCAGGAATACTTGGACCAACAGCTGCAGAAACTTGTCAGTAAACATGGTAAGAATAGCAAGTTGATGCCCCCCCATTAGTGCACAATTAATTCCCAGGGATGGAGAAAGCGTGCGAGTGTCACTGACTCCTTGCTTGTGACATGTCCTTCCACTTACCTTGTAATAATGTCTTGGTGCAGGCCCCTCACCCCACCCTTTACCTTAGAAGAACAACATACAATGCACAAAAGCGCATACCCCTCAGAAATAATTTAAACAGGAAGATGCTGACATTCCTTGTGTGAAATTGCTCTAGTCTTTGACTCTGGGTCAAATCATTTGCATGTTGTCCTTGTAGATGCCCATAAACTGAAAACGGGCCTCTGGAGGGGCACACCTGAGTGGCTCCTTCAGTCAGATTATTTGTTTGTTTGTTTTCAAATCACTAATGGGCTTTCATCAACCTCTAAATGTAGGCAAACTCAGTCTTTACTCAGGAAAAAACACAAATAGCAAATAAGAACTCTGTACTTAATCCTCATTTATGTTCCAGATAAGACAGAGGATGATGCTGACCGTGAAGCACAACTTCTAGAGATGCGGCTGACTCTAACCGAGGAAAGGAACGCGGTGATGGTCCCCTCTGCTGGCAGTGGGATTCCGGGGGCCCCTGCAGAATGGTACGGACCTGACAGTATGGTTTGTGAAGTTCTGAATGCTCGCTAGACCACCTAGACCAGTGTGGATTTTTGTGTGTGCCACAAGTAATGGAAGATTCATAATCGCATATGGGAAATGTTGTTTGAATCGAAGGAACTGTTAAAATCTTTTCGTGAGTTGAGTAACCGTGGCCTGAAACTGTTTTATTAAATAATATTGTTATTGCCCAAAGTGATTAAGCTTTCTGAGAATCTAAATCAATATTTAGTACCAACTGCACTTAGCATTAAAAAAAATAGTTAATATGTTAATTACTTAGGTCATTCCCTTAAAAGACTGTTCGGTCGTAAGAAAATTGCATCTCCATGAGTTTTTGGTTTTGGTGCTGGCTTAAACTGTACTGTCAGCAAATGTTCTGTGCTACTTTATGGAAATTAAAATGGTCAATTAAGCCAGAGAGTGCCCTTAAGGGAACTTCACTATAAACAGGTATGTGTGTCTTACGAGACTCAGGTCTAGTTCAGAACATGGAGTAGCAGTGACAGCTCAGTCTTTGAAACCCATGCCCAGAGTCATTATTGCCTGGACATGTAGGATTTTGGAATGTTTATTAAGGTTCCAAGGCGCATTCTGCTCAGAGCCTGCTTTATTTGAGATGCTATTTGTTCTTCATGTTTTAGGACCCCCGTACCTGGGATGGAAACCCACATTCCTGTTATATTCCTTGACTTAAATGGTAAGTTAGAGGTGTTTTCTGAAGGCTTGCCTCTGACAGATTAGTGCCTAAGTCACACGTAACTCTAACCTAACCAAGTGCATCATTAGGAGGGAGGTTCTGTCTTCCCAAGGTTCGAGTCAGTTTTACTTTTTTCTCTGAGTTCTTGTTTCATCTATTCTTGCACTTGTTTTATGAATAACTTTGATTTTTCTGACATTCCCTCACCCTTATATAAAATGTTTTAAGTCTGAATATATTTTATGTATGCTCTGCCTATAGGAGGAAAAATAAAAAATGAAAAAGTAGATTAAGGAGTTAAACATAAGTTAAAATAAGCAGTTAAATTCCTAAAACTCTTGCAGAAGAGTTATGTATTGAAATGAACTCTCCTAAATAGACAAGCTTGGGTGTCCTCAGTGGCTTTCTTCTCCTGCCCTGCAAGTGAGCTATAATATCTGAGGCTTTTAGCATTCTGTGCCAGATACCATAGATATATTTAAAAAAAAATTTATTTTTTAATGCAAGAGGGTTCATACATGCCCCAGACTAAGAGAGAATCAGAGACAGAGACAGACAGAGAGCCCTCCAGTAGGTCCTGGTCAGGTTGAATCCCCTTTTCTCCATTCCTCCATTCTGTCAGGACCCTGCCATGTGCACCCGTAAACCTAACATGCTTTTCAAGTCTCCAGAGGTGAGATTCCAATCACCACTGGCCATGAGGGACCCAGTTCTCTCCGCACAGTCCTAACCACTGTGTCGTGATGCGGCTCACTTAGCTTAACTACAGACAGACAGTTAGGGAGTAATACTGAGCCAGTGCCGTTTTCTCTCCACGTGATTGGGCGGGAGTTGTTTTTTAATGTTTTTGTTGCAACAAGATTCTATCCTACCTTGTAGTTCTCTTAAACAGACTGAGGGTTACTCTGGCCTATTTTTATATTAAGTTCCCTAGATAGGTAAGGTGTATGTGTGTATGTGTGTGTGTGTGTGTGTGTGTGTCTAGGGAGGGTTAGGGTTAGGATGTGTGCGACAAAGTGGAGAAAAATATTGAAGATGTTAATCTGGGTTGGAAGAGATGGTTAGGGCTTCGTTCAGCCTTATGCATGTGCTCGGTCCCTCCGAGGCCACCTACTAGATGTATTTCTAATGCTCACTCAACAGCGTCAGATGGATGGGCCTTGGGAGGGCCTGGCTTGTGCCTAGGAAGCAGAGGGCCATGGTATAGCCTCTGATTTCAGGCTCATGCGTGGCCAGTTGATCCTTTTGTTAAACTTACCTGTCAGAGAACTGGAATCTCTCTTGCTTGTTATTTCTTCAGTGCACTAAAAGGTGGGGAATTTGGGTTTTAATTCTGTCATTAACATTTATGAGCTAACCTTGGGTAACCTCAAATATCTCGACTTCACTTGCCTTCCATGTAAAATAAGGCATAAAGGTGGCAGATTGGATAAGATAATTTCCTGAGGCACTTCCTGTGTCCAAGGTCCGTGAACTTTGGAGTGGTCATCATCAATGTCATACGATTTCAGAGGAAAAGGGGAATGAAATTTGGAACAAAAAAATAATAATAAGCACATTGAAATCTAGCTAGTAAGAGTTATCCTTCAAAATGATCTCATCATTTAATGGCTCTTCCTTGCTTTTAGCTGATGATTTCAGTTCTCAGGATAATCTTGATGACCCAGAAGCTGGTGGATGGGACGCTACCCTGACTGGGGAAGAAGAAGAAGAGTTCTTTGAACTGCAGATTGTAAAACAGCATGATGGAGAGGCAAGTAGAGCATGCTTGGGAAGATCAGATAAGACGGAGTTTGCTTAGCCTCCATGTGATTTTTTTTTTTTTTTTTTTTTTTTTTTTTTTTTTTTTTTAGGGGGCGTGGCGCCCCCACACAGG